ATGAAACAATCCTCCTCATTCTTGCTTTAAATGTAAAATAATTCTGCATTTATACCACTTCAAGTATTATATGCGCATTTTTACGAGTTTTTACGATTTAATTAATTTAAGACAAAAGTATTGAAACGTATTTTTTGGAAGGCGATTACCTTCCTCCGATAGGGATGGCCTTTTGTCAGCGATCCACGCATTGACCATTCTGGAATTATCAAATTAGTAATTTAACATATCTTTTATGTAAAGGTTGTATTTCGTTTTTGAGTTTCTCTTTGTCAGGTTCTACGCCGCAATTCATTTTTGCGGTAGTATGCTGTGTCGCGCAAGTTTCTTCAGCGTGTGAGATACGACACTTAACAGACCAGAAATACCCCTTGAAAATGCAATCCGCTCGACAGGGACGTCTAATGCTCCACGTGGTTGCTTTAACTCACTGAAAGGGGCAGCACATTTGCGCATTCGCTATTGTTAGAGAATTATTCCCCTTTATTGCGTGAATTATTCTTTCCGCTATTCATATAATTTTCTATCATTTATGAGTAGTCATACAAAATTAATCTAGTATTGATATAATGTAGCATAAAGTTGTATTGATAAGTCTTTCCCCATGGCAAAATACAGTAAAAAGAGTGAGTAAATATGAATGTATATGCATGAATATATATGTGAATAAACATGAGTAAATACTAATCAGAATGTGATTTATAACGTGAATTAGATAATTTTGAAGAGAATTAGGTGACATATGGAAGAAAGTGACATCTTTAATTGGTGTGCAAGTGAAAATGATGACAAATTAAAATGCTTATGTAAATAAACCCTGTAACGTCATATAGATAGTGGACATTCTTCCCCCTCTTAGCACAGCGCATTATGGGAAAAATGGTCAATGCAGAGTTAATTAACTGCGTTTGTAAAATGTAGAATATTCTTTTTCATTTCGAGAAATAATTCATCTTTGTCGCTTTTTTGGACAAGAGTTGCGAGGTATTACATTATACGAAGTTTTAACAACAACTTTTAACTTTCAAAGAAGGATGCAGTTTACATTCACGGCATATATTAACTTTTAATGAAAATAATCTTAGCGAATTCTACAAAAGGTTTTGCCACTTGAGCGAAATGGCGACCCGTATGGATTCCGTAGCGTCGCACCTATCTTGCACTTGCGTCAGCCCCGAACTACCCATTTCCACTCCTATACTAACATTAGTTGAATTCTGAATTAATGATAATGACGAGCGGTTATTATTAAATTATTTATCGTAAATGTTCGTTCACACATAGTAGACCATTTTACGTCGAAAAACAAACTAAAAAATTGATATAATAGTCCTATTGCGTAATCACCAACGTCCCACTCCTCTCGCATCAAACGAAATGAGGGCTAAAAAAATCGTGCGCGCCAACGTGCCCAAAACCCGTTTCCCTTTACCCGCGCAAGGATGCTACCACTCACATCCTACGTATCACATTGAAGGGACAACTTGTACCCGACATCTCCCCCACAACAGCATTTTCTTTCTTCGATTTTTCCCTTGGGTCTCCCTAAAGCGTTGCTTCGGCAACTTTCATCGCCCGCTCATCTCTTGGCAGGGCTCATCGCCCGCCTTGAAGTACTCGTTAATCTCTTTACCGCGGCCGGCGGCGGCGGCGGCGGTGGAGCGCGTCGCCAGGCGAACGAGGTCACACCCTTCGTTAAGGCTGCCGCCGCCGCCCCGGGCCTTGCACTCCATCGAAAAACTTGCCCTGCTTCGCCGGTGGCCTTCTCGCACTCCTCTCTTTGCCTCTTGCCTTGGAGAGAACCTATTTATGCTTGGAAATTACGGATTAGGTGCTTTGCAACTACTGATGTTATACAATGAGCGTGTTTGTGTGTTAATGACTTTAGGTGCGTACAATAATATGGAAAATACATCCGTAAATAGAATACATGATAACTCCCAGAAGGTAACAAGAATGCTCTGTCACAACCGCGACAAACATCACGTA